ACACACACACACACACACACACACACACACACACACACACACACACATACACACACACACACACACACATACACATACACACACACACACACACATTAAAATAAAGGAAATTAATTATGTTCAATTAAGTTATTGCTGTGCTCACTGTGGGTTTGTCATAATTGAGTAAGTTTGTGTGTCGAGTGTGTGTTAACTCTTCATTAAAGCTGTTCAGACATCAGTTGTCTGAAATGCCAAGGAAATATTCTCTAATTGGACGCTTCAGCCAACAAAGAAAATCCTCACAATGTAATGATCAATATGTTGACACTTTGGGGACTAGACAGCATGCTGGGGAGGCTTTAAGGCAGCTCTTACTTTACTGTGCCTTTATGCAGTCAATGCTGCATTACTGTCAACTCTCTCTACTTATTATCTGACCATTATCTTTGTCTGTTTGCCCATTCATTTTTTTGCAAGTAAAAAATGACAGGTGAAATGAAACCATAAAAAAAAAACACATAGCCGATAGCCAATGAGCTAATTAATTTAATATTGGCACCAATTAATTCACCATTAAAGCTGAAATGTATTTATTTACGTTACTGCCCTCTCCAGCAGTGAGGGGTAACTGAAGTGATGTCAGAACTACAACTAAACATTTTTATTGAACAAACAAATCATGTCAAATGTGGCACTTTTAAGAATTAGACTGGTGGTATTCTACATTTTTCATATTATGCATAAATCTCATGAAAAGAACAAAACCAACAATGAATTGATCCATAGAGCTCCACTGTTAATAACACGCCAGTGAGGAACAGCTTTGCACTGACATTTACTGTAGTTCATTTTAAGATAATCTTGCAAAAACGGTCTGCTTCTGTCAATACTCACTACAACAAATCCACGGTTGAACATAGCCCCACACAATTTAGTTTCAGTAGCGTTGCTACAAACTACAGTGGCCAGCTGTTGTAGGAAATGACTGAGCTTTTAAAATAATGATGATACGCAAGGACGTCTGAAAGAGTTGAGACATGGACTTACTCATTGTTGGTTTTGGTGTTTTCATGGGATTAGTTGATAATAGAAATATACAGTAGAACATCACCAGCCTTGGAAAACTGAGCTACAGAGTGCTGTTGAAGGCAGAATCAAGGTGAAGACAGTAAAATATTAGACAGGATAAAATAGGACATATACTGTAAGTACAGTGGCGATAAAAGTCTAGGACACAGAACATTAAAGTGATATTATAATAACACAAACACTAAAACAGTCTTGCATCTGTATGATCAAGTAGGTGTAAGTATAGGTTGAGTAAAATAAGTCTGAACCCAAAAACATAACGCCTCAGGCCTCGGCTGTTGTCAGCGCGGAGCCATTAAAACAAGTTTTAAGGGATTCAAAAGTTATTATTGAAGTTTCTGGCTTGAAATAGCAAAGTGGTGATACTACTTTAGTAGATTTGGTGTGGCATGGTGTCAAATGCTGCCTTGGCTCCATTTCGACCACAGTTGCTCGTTATTTTCAACTAGGACAACATTTCTCCGTATAGCAGAGAATGGAGAAAGACCATAATAAATACCCAGAGAGTGATGTTTGCTTTGCTTGCGTTTCATATTTTTTTAAGTTGATGTTTCCAATTCCTGCGCCTTGTGTTTATGTCCCTTTATGCATTTATGAATAATTGCAACTCTGAAATACTGTTTTTTTTCTGTGTATCCCTGTAATTGTGTATTATAGCATGCTTATGCACACATAACAGAGTAGTTGTCTTGAATGTCAGCCCCCATATTTGACAGTCACACAATGCAAATAGTCAATAATTTAACATTTTTCACAAACATGGGCAACTGTGAATGTATTTCATGTGTATTTAAAGTCAGATGAGCCTCATCTCCTGCTTGTGTGTTCATCCGGTGAAAGCAGATGGCTGTGTGGGCTTTCATTGAAGTTTAGTTCAGTGACTGCGGGGGACTCTGTTGTATGCATGTGACAATGTGTACATGCTTAAAGCATTAGCGTATGCATATGTTAAGATATTTCTATCATAAAACCTTTCACACTTCTCACAAAAGACACTTTGTTTTCCAAGTTGACAACTGAATTAACGGCCTGTCTTACAATCAGCAATCAAGAACACAAAACATAATTGCTATAACGAACATTTCACTTTAGTTCATTTTCAAGTCAAATTTTACTTCATTCTTCATTCAAAGTCGGGATTTCCTTGCGGACATAAGCCATCACATTCGAAAAATCATTTTGTTAAGAGGCGGTGGGTGTTGATGCGGCTCCAGGTAACGCTGTGTGAGACCGCACTCTCCCAAACCTCAGACTGATAAAGTGAGGCCAAACACTCACCAATGACTTTTAAATAACATTTTCTGACAGGACCCTCTAGCGAGCTGGTTAGGCTCGGGTCACATTTGACGATGATTTCCACCTCTTCCACAAGTTGTCTTGTGTCATGTTAATGCAGTCGGTGCTCTCGATGCAGCTTCTTGATTAGATGGAGAATGTCTCCATTATTTAAGCATTTATGCAAGATCACAGAACTAAATCATTCGTGCACATTCCACTTTTTGGTTGCAAAAAGTTTGATCCTCCTGCTCGGTACAATGCTTCACTCTCAAATCAATGTCGGGGTGATTTTACACTTGGTCTGATTGGAGGTTTTTTTTGTGGTCCAGAGGTTGTTTTCCGTCAGAGTTCAGTACAAGTGTGAAAAAATGTTATGTTACTCTTAACTTTGTCCATCATCGAGTACATGACTTGATTTGTTGATACATTTTTTATCACATCAGGAAATAACCCTCAGTAATGACTCCGGTATAGACTCAAGTATCTAGATCGTATGTAAAAACACTCTTAGGTCATAGGAGATGTTTATCAGGCGCCAGGTAGAGCTGCTCTCTTGCTAAGTATTATTGACCAGCACAACCTCTTAAAGACACACTGAATGACGCACACTCCTGGACCAGTCTCCTCTCTAAAGTTCCAGCACCTTCTGTTTTATCACAAGAGAAGAACTAATGAAACCAGGAGTGGAATCACACAACCACAGCTCTAGCTCAAAGCTCTAACAAATTTTGGGATATACTGTATTCTCCCCATGAAGCCACATAAAGTGTGAGGACAAAAACTGAAGTACCCTTAACTCTCTATCATACCTGGAAGGCTGTTTGTTCTCTCTCTCTCTCTCTCTCTCTCTCTCTCTCTCTCTCTCTCTCTCTCTCCTAATTCACACCATCGTCATCTGCTTCTCTCTGTGAACAAAAGACTCCGCCAAGCTCATTTTATCAGCACCATGTTGTTGGCTGTACATGGTACGAGGAGAATACATGCTGGCCAAAGAGCTACAGGACATTCATACAGCACAAATCCCCAGAGGTGATTCATGTGTGCTCTAGGAAAGAAGATAATGAAATCTTTGTTCGGTTTGGGATTAGACTCATGTCCTGTTGTCGCCTCTATTTCCCACTGTGTCTGTATTTTAGTGACATGTTCACATTTCCATATCAGACACTGCAGGTCTGTACTGTAACTGTTGCTACCCTGAATAGTTCAATTTGCCATATGTAGACTGTACGTGTGTGAGCTGCTCTGCATCTGTACATGTCGAGGGTGCGGGATTCTCATTAGCAGCTCCAGCAGCCCAGCAGTACCTAATGAACTCTGCATTGTCTATTTCACTCAGCAGCGACATCACATTATGGAGCTCATCTGCTATCACCCGCCTCTTTACTAGCATGCGCTCACAGTCTCATCAACACCTCGGGTTCTCTTAGAAAGTATGGGTGGCTCATGGATTTAACTTCAGTGTCCTTTTCTCTACTTTTCTTCCTCGTCGGTGTTAAATTTAGATGTGCAGACAGTGAGTTCACATAGAGAAAGATGTAACCTTAAAAAACAGAGTTCAAAGAGGTGTTCAACATTGTGTAACAATGTTAAAATGCATGGTTTTGTAGCAGTTGTTTTGTCCTAATTGTGCCCACATTGTATTTGTTGTGTTTACCGTATTGATTAAAATGGAAAGGTTTACTGACACATCCACCTACAGTACCTGATGTCTACATTATGGAAAAACAAGATCGACTCCTATACTTGCAAATGGCTTCCGTGACATTGATTGAAATTGTAGAGTTTGGCAGCTTTCCAATAAAGCCGGGCTCTAACACAGTTGTAGTTCAGTTGTATGATTAGATCTTTATGGTGCACTGCAGGCAAGAGACATAAAACAGCAATACTCTGATTCCAATGAGTGCCTGAATTGAATCTCCACTCGAGCAGTTTATTAAATTAATGACGGATTCGATTAATTAGATTCAATTAATGAAGAACATGGAACTAGTTATGATGACTGGAATTAAGAGTTTTTTTTTCTTTTTTGGGAAATATAAATGAAACTAAATGTCATGATAAAGAAGTTCACTCATTCCAGGAGGCTTTTAAATGATTTATGTACACAGTATACGGTATCTCATATTTGAAACTGCTTTTTTATTACAGTATAAGCATGTGGCATTGCTGGGTCTTTGCAAGCCTTTTATCTGGCATTCTGGTATTTCCCTGCTTAGGGAGTGAGAATCGCACTAATTAGGAGGCCTTAATCACTGCTTTTCTCCCCCTCTCCCTTCCCACTCTTTTCCCACTCCCACTCTCCCCCCCTCCTTTCCTGTACAAACCCTCCACTCCACTTTTGCCCCATTTTCTTCATACATCTACAGCCCTTTTTCTCACCCTCTCTTTTCCTCTTAAAGTTGTTTCTCTCTGTCTCTCCCTACACACTTACCTCTTCCCTTATCTATTTCTCTCTGTGGGGTTGATGAGTGGGTTATCCTGGTGTAATTAATATGGGAGAGGAGTGAGGATCAAGGAACCAGGAAACAAACCCCTGGCTTCCTCTGCACAACAGCAGCATGTGAAAGCCCCTCCATTAATCAGGCCCATATATGCGTATGCATGTGTGATAAGCAAGAGTCTGAGAAAGAGAAGAAAAAAACAAAATGATAAAGTGCAAGGTGACAACAGCACTAACTGCATTTGTTTATTAAACAATGTGTTGTTGTCTTGCTTTTCATTTAATCAAATTTCCCTCCTCACCTGTCTCATCTGTCTTTCTGCTTCCACAGTTTGGCAGAACAGAGGTGATAGATAACACCCTAAACCCAGACTTTGTTCGAAAGTACATCCTGGACTACTTTTTTGAGGAGAAGCAGAATCTTCGCTTCGACTTGTGAGTGGATTTCCTTTGAAGGTGTATCCGAATTGTATTTGCTCTCCTGCCCTCTGTCCTCATTTCCTGTGATGTATTTTTCTATTTTCACACCCTCCGTTCTATCTCATTGAGAGCCCTTCAATTGTTACACCCTTAAGAAATTGACCTTTCGGTATCTCCGCCCCCGAACAGCGATGCTCACCGTAATGATTTGCATGAGGCTCTAATAAGAGCAATATATGAAGAGTTTGGAGGGTGTTGTTTCATTGTTTTCATCCTTTACAAAACCAAAAACACAAATGCAAAATTTTGAGGATCCCTGCATGTTTATCTGCTCTAAAGTAGGCTACAAGCATTAGCACGCCTGGCTAACTAGCTTGCTACCTACAGGTAGGCAAGGGGCATTTCATTAGCCAACTGCACAGTGGTCACAGGTTTCATTGTGATGCTGTAACAGAGTTCAACAGCAGCTATCAAAGTTTGTGTCAGAGAATTACATTTATCAAACACCTCGGTTATTGCAGCTCATCAAATCTATCTGTTTTGTAAAACAAAAGCATACAATACAAACATCAAAGCATAAATCGTATCTCTGTGTTGCTTGGCCAAGTCTATTTTTCTATGATAAGCATCCAAACCATCAAATTGGGGTTAGATGAACAACATTCTAATTACATTCGTATTACTATAATATTGGGCCCAACTGGCTTTGCACTGCAATAGACAACCAATGCTGCTGCTTTATATTCACGTCTTCTACATGGATCATCAATTGACGTTCATGCTTGGGACATGTTATTCAGCAGAACATCAAGTGCATGTCCAAGAGAGCCCTTTATGGAGATTCTTGTCTTAAAACATGTCAGCTGGAAACATTTGTCGGCTGAACATGGAGGTTTATCCCAACTCATGGAGTTTTAGCAATCGAGTTAGCAGAAGTTTATGTTAGCTACCCTCAGATGATGAAATAAACTATAGACAGTCAGCCAACAAAATCCACAGTTGTTGGCCTGAAATAAGGAGCCTGCTTTTGTCTACTTCTGTGTAAAATCAAGAATTGTGAGAGGAAAATCTGCCATTGTAAGCTATGTACTGTTTGACGGGGTTAAGAGTAACAAAGGGGAGCGGTTTAGCAAAACAGTCAATAGAACTCATCTTTCGTTTATGACGTATATGGGATTTTTATATTCATTATAACCATTCGCAGTTGTAATCAAGTCTCTTTCTCTGTCTCTCATTGAGGATTTCTCAGTGAAATCAAATCTCTTTCTTACACAAAAGGGGTCATCTTTCTTGCATAACGTAACATGATGCTGGCCAAGTTGAAGGGTTAACTGCCAGCTCTTTACAGGCTGGACACACAAAGAAGAAAGAACGCTGCCTCAGCACTTGCTGTGGTTATGCTCTTTCATGGATACAAATAATCTCCATTTGAAATCACATTAAACAACCATCCCTCAAAGCTCTTTCAACAGATTGACCCTTAGCACTACCTGTCTTTATATCCTCCGCAGCTACGCCACCACACAGTATAAAAATACATTAGATGCTATTTGACAACTCTACAGTATATCACATATATATTAATAGTGAGAGAAATGCATGAACATTGTTCTAATGTCCAGGCAAACATGATCTATTGTTTCATTGGATGTTTAATACTGGCACACCACATAATAGCCTCCCTTCACTTTCATAGCTTTTTATTCACATGCAAATAAGATCAGGTCCACCACTCATTATCATAAGAGAGGAAAAAGGTCTTGTTGAACCCTTCCCCAATTACTCGGCCCCACCTTTAGTAACATCTGAAAAGAAACTAAGATCTTTTTTTATCTTGGCTCATTTTGAATTTGTGTGATGTTTAATGTGAGAGCCTTTGTCTTTGTCTTTTTATCTCTCATGAGTCTACCCACCTGTTTACATACTGTGGTTTTTAAAGGATCAAATAAAAAGTATATCTTAATTTCTCTTATCCTTCTTTACTCTGTTCTATTTCTCTAATTTCTTTCTTCAAACTACTCTCAACTCATTTCGCTTATAGACGTTGACACTTTGTCCTCAAACTGACAAAAAAAATAAACAAAAACATCTGAAAAGCCAAAATAAGATAAGTGTTGTGAGAGTATTTCTTCTCTGCTCCCAGTGATGACATATCACCAGGGATTGTTTAAAATCGTGCCTTTATCAATCAGTAAGTCCCCACTTAGATAAGAGTGTCCTCTACAGCTTTTGAAGTGAAATGGCTTTTATATTGTTTACTTACAGGTATGATGTTGACTCCAAAAGCCCAGACCTGTCCAAACATGTGAGTGCACATATTTAACTTTGAACCACAGATAAATGGAGGCCGGTTCTGAGTCAAATCTGAATTATTATCTTAAATGGCTCTGAAAATGAAGAAAGTAAATATTGCTTGATGAAAAACGGGGCTGAAAGTGACTTAAGATTGGCCGAACTCTTTATCAGTGGTCTAATGGGTGTTGCCTGCTGCATGGTTTATTCTTGATGAAATAAAGCAAACCCTTTTTTATTGCCTGATCACAGAAGTATCCAAATGCAAATGTTCATTATTGTCTTTATTCAATGTCTTTGCTTTTAGACTTCAACATGTGTTCTAAATGCTGCATTGCACTACAGATATGCTAATGCTATTTCTATTCAGCTATGATTGAGTCATATATGGTCTTTTTTGTATTTATTGTAGTTGTGGTTCTGCAGTGATAGGCATTGTGCAAAAACTTGCTTTACTATCAAAACTTGGATCGTGCAATGCTTTAAAGCGCAATATTCCATTTTCAGCACTATATTACATGACATGATATTTTTTTGTTTCACTAGAGAACGATAGGTTGATTTTATCTATAAGGCTGGAACTATATGGTGACAGAGAGCATTTGTTAAAAGTGCAAAATAATCAGTTTTGATGATTATTTGATGTATTTGGATAAGTGGGGTTTGCATTTTTTCATCACTAGGTTTAATTCCACCTATGTGCGTTGGGTTTTACTTCTGGCACAGCATGTTGTCTTTACACTCTCACCTCGCCATCTTGCGCAGTGCCAGGAGTGCTAGTTATTCGGTAAAGTGTTGGTATATGATGTCTGTTGTTATTGTTGTTGTTGTTGTCATTGCTGTTGTTGCTGCTGCTGCTGCTCAACCTTTCTGGAAGCCCGCAGAACTCAACGTAGGTCCCAGCATCCCTCTCACTGCTGACACTGCATGGCTGCTGTCTCACATTAATGATCCTTTCGTCAGGAGGAAGGATGGCGACACTAATCAGAACTATAAACTGAGAGGACAGGCCACTGTTGCAGTCTCAAAGGGCTCCACAGCAGCCACATTATGAAAATAAATAAGCAGTCATTATGTCTTTCAGCAGCTTTTGTAGCATTTTTTTGTAACATGATGAAAATGGTGAGATTTCACAGGCTCTTCCGTGTAACAGAAAGCAAAATCCGTCTGCACAAAAGACCAAAGGCTCACTGAAATGAAACACACTATAGCCTGATGCTGAATTATTTAGTGTGCACCTGTCTGTCAAGGCCAGAGTAAAGGGGTCTTTGGTTTGGATTGTCCCACATCCTTGCTATGATAAAGAAAAAGAAAAAAAAACAAAACGATTGTGGCGAAACTTGAAACCAAATACACAATATGACTTTCTTTTATCTGTCTTTGAGTCTAATGTACCGGATCTATGCTTTTGTGATAGTAAGAGACTTTGTCCAATTAGAGACATGAGTATGACTGAAAATATGTCACTCAGTCATTGTTCATGGTGCTGTGAACCCTTCCAACTTCACCCATTTGTCTGTAATCCTCCACAATTCATTAAACCAGTGGTTCCCAACAGGTGGGTTACGGGTCCACAAGTGGAGTCTGTTCTAAGTGGGTCGCAATTTTCAAATTGACTTCTAGATAAGCGCTTTTATTTTGAAGCACCACTGCCTATGAGTAGAGGCACTACAACATGCATGTCTGTAGTGTAAGTAGCCTATTGAAGCCAGTCTTTTGTCAAAGTTACCATGCATGACAGATGGATTTTCGCGATGTGATCATGCAAGAATCACATATGACACAAAAATCTATCTTGTCAGGCTTCAAGTAATGACATTGTGTCCAGTAAGACAGAGCACGGACCAATCAGCGTCCTGTGAGGAGCTATTTGTGTGCGAGACTACACACAGAGGTGACTGTTGTTTCTAAACAACAATGGCAGCTCCCAAAGAGGTTAGCGTAGAACCTGCAATAGCATCAGAACTGGAGAATGGCTCTGACGGCTTTTCTCGATGAAGATGTTTTTGCTCTTCTCTGGACTTGTTTCCGTTAGAGTTTGACTGAGAGATGCTTCGTCCAATCACCATGTATTTTTTTGAAAGTGCCCGCCCTTTTCCGAACAGTTTCCAATGATGACTTCTCAGATGGTTCTGTGTAACAAACCATCTGACGGGTCAGGTTGATGTCAAAGTCTGTTCTCCCTTTGAATAGTGCATCCCTCCTGTTAGCATTGTATTTAGGTGGTTATAGTTTGGCATTTCATGCTTCAAATCTTATTTACCTGAATAAGCCTGAATTAGTTGGAATTGCTATTTTGAAATGTTAGTTTAAAGCCCTACTTGCACTCTTTAACGGCAATGCAGATAATCACATGTTGCTTTAGAATGCTAGAGGCTAGACCCATTGGGAACCACTGCATCAAACTATGCTTACCTTGCATACATTGACAACTTTGATTGCAATTCAATTTCACAACAAAACTGGATACGATGTCACATTGTTGAGCAGATCACAGTAATGGTGTCTTTGAGCATTAAGAGAATATTTTTTCATAGCTGACGGCAATTTACCAAGCTTTGCAGACACGACTACAATCTATGACTTACCCAATGTTTTTTTAAAACCTAATATGTTGTACAAAAAAAAAATTCAAGAATTTTTTTTGGTGAAAAATTTAAAACTCTGACCCACAAATTTGAAGGAGCATGAAAGAGTATAATCTTTGCCAAAAAGTCCAGTGGCAGTAGAATAATTTTTAGTTCATGTCTGTGATTATGACTTTGATTTCTTGTCTTTTCACTTCATATATGTCACCCTGTCCCCCCTCCTCCCCTCCTCCTTTCTTCCCTCCAGGACTTTTTGGGTCAGACGTTCTGTACTCTTGGGGAGATTGTTGGATCGCCAGCCAGTCGACTGGAGAAACCACTGGGGTGAGTAAGATCTAAATACCCCTGAATCCAAATATGATTGAGCAACAACATACTGTGCCAAGGAGGGAATTAAGACACAAGAAAGATGCTTTGTACCCAAACACAATGACCATGCTCAGGTTCATGAATTTAGCTTAATTTATACTGAGTTAGGGACACAGAGAGAGTGTGAGTGAAATAGCAGGAGGATGAAGAGGAGGAAGAATAGGAAACACATTGGTGATTTAGCAAAACATTGATCAGACAAAGGAGGAACGGATGAGAGACATCCTACAGATGTTTTCCTCAGATAATTATTGTCATTAAAGAAAAAGGTGGGAGCAAAATTGAGCGAAATTATCTAAATGACAGCCCGTCTCCCCAGCTTGTGCTCTCACACTGGCTGAGAAAAATGTAATGTTAATGGGAGAGCCTTTAATCTGTCTTTAAACATCTATCATCCATCATCATCATCATCATCATCATCATCATCATCATCATCATCATCATCATCAGTGTGCTAGGCTCTTGTGTAATTCAGGTGAAGTCATTTAAATGTCGCAGTCAGTGAGATGTGCTGGTTTTCAGCTCTGGATATGTTACCGTGGAGAACATTAAGATGGAATACTTGAGGATTAATATTCAACTTTGAATTGAAAAGTTATGTAATTGCCATGTACTTGTATTGCGTACATGTGACGCTTATATAATTAAAAAAAAAACTGTAGTATAAGGTGATTTTGGAGCAACTGTATGGGGAAAGCACACAGACAAGATATGTTATGCCTACTGATTGCTTTATTTGCAGGGCTAAATAAAGAGATATCTGGGTAACTTCAGGGCACAGAGGCTGGCAGAAGAGCCAGTATGCACCTCTAAAATCTCAACTACACCAGGTGTATCTACAGTGTTGCATGAAAACTACGCATCTCCAAAACATCTCTTGTTTTTAGCTTCGTGACAATGCATTTGATTAATGTAGCTTAGGAAGTACAGGATCATTTTCTCAACATATAACGGGACAATTACTCTCAGCTTTGTTACCACTAGCCGCCCCAAGCAGCCGGGGACCGGTTAAGAGTTGTGGGTGAGTAGTCACCAGGTAGTCAGTGGCAGAATAACACAGGTGATAAAAGGTGTTTTGAGAAAGTGTGAGCCATAACTGACCACCCAAAATATTATGTGGTTTGCTGCAGCAGCAGAATCTGATATTAGCCGTGAACAGAAACAGAGCACACTTACTCATAGAGGCATGCACACACACACACACACACACACACACACACACACACACACACACACACGCATGATCCTCCTGGAGGATATAATAATAATAATAGTGGTATTGTGTCAACACCCACACGCAACATGTTTAAAATAGAAAGCACTTTTATGATTGTTGCTCATCTTATTAATTTGAGTATTTGGTTTGCAACAGTTCTCCTCTTCTTGGAAACCATTGTAAAGCATACATATTAATGTTTCATGATGCAGGCATTACGTCACATCTCTGATGTACGCAGTAAAAATAATGTATATCATATTGACAAATTGCACATGGAGCTTACCAGAAATATCTGTCTCGCCCTCCAGCACACCCCTGGTGATGACACAGTTGCAAATCTGTTGCAAAAACATTGTTGTGACACAGTGTTTTCCGTGCAGTGCTTTTACTGTTGATGATGCTTACTTAAGGGTGCACTTTAGCAGTGCAAATATAAGTGTGCCTCGAGCCTCTATATTGAGAGCATAAACCTTAATAATGTTATTACAGGTTTAATATCAAACCATTTCTTTCTCAGCTGAGAATTTATATGGCACGGTTGGAAAAGGAAATAGAATTCTTGCCAAATTATTCATTTTTTATTTGAGACAATCTGCAGCTGAGAGATAACATAACTGCTTGCTAAATGTTATTCTTAAGGCAGCCTTTAGTCTTTCTTTAAAGAAAAAATAAAGTTGACAGCCACCAAACTAGCACAACACATTCACATGGTATTTATTTTATGGTCGTTAATGATTAATCATAAAATGTAATGTGTTTATTTTTGGCATGTTTCTTGAATCATATTGGGATCAGTTCCATTAAGTGGTTTTGGTGGATATGCAGAATAATTTCCTCAAATTCAAACACTCAGATATTAACCTCCAGTGCGATTACGTTCAGCAACTTTTCTAGCTATACTAGTGAAGCGACTTTGTTTTGTCTCTGGTGTGGAGGAGAACTGTGAAACACACAGCGGCCCACTGAGTGCCCTTATGCACACACACACACACACACACACACACACACACACACACACACACACCTATACCTATTTTAGTAATTGATTTCATAAATCCTGTTCCTTAGTAAATGGCGTATAACTGCATGAGAGCGTATTTCATTTTTCTTCCTGCTCTCTTTTCTCTGCCTAATTGTAATGACTTTAATGTTCCTGAAATTACCGCTTGTTTAATTAGGCAGCGGCCGATTTTCATTATGGAAAAAAAACGGCTCCTGAAGCAAAAGAGAGAGTGAGAGAGATAGAAAGGCGACATCAATGACTATCCGGAGAGTTTGTTTGTCGGCAGAGACAGAAACGCCGACGAAGATGAGGACAGTCAAAAGAACCCATTATTGCTAGTCTAGATTGTACACAGAAGCACAAACAAAAAGCATTAGAGTAGAAGACAGTAGAAAGTATGCAGTAACACGGGTCCTACTCATGACAGTGAAAACTGGTCACTACAAATACACACCTTCTTTATGCATATTTTGCTAGGCTAATAAATGAATGAATTCGTGCGGCCTCTAAGGCTCTCGTCAGTTTACTGCACTGTATATTTACAGATTCCCTTTGAGGCCGCAGAAGCACACAGGAAATACACACAAAGCCATGCAAACACAGGCACAGAGTCAAACAAATTTAGTGTATATGTGTGTGTGTGTGTGTGCATGTATATTTACACATGAGTATGAAAGCAGTGTATGTACAGGCATGCTTTACAGGCATTAGGTCCTATTATATTGACCCATTTGTGCCCGCAACAGAAATGTTCAATATTCTTTGGAAAAGGAGGTTCCTATATAGAGTATATAGAGAGAGGCAAAGTCTCGCCCCTTCCGGTGGACCACCATGGGAAAAATATGTAGGGTCGTCAACAACGAATACATTTCTGATGCAGTTTGAGTTGTGCAAGGAGTTATACATATGTTTGCCAATTAAAAACGATAGTTTTGTACATCAATAAAGATGCTTTTATTCGTATAACTTTTGAAGTGTAAGAATGTGAAAATATATAATTAGAAAGACGACAAACCCAAACGCCACATAAGGGACGTGTCTCGCTGAAGCTACGACGCCTGTGTTTTGTACTGGGATGTAACGCTACTCACATTAACAACGGGTCTTGATTGTTCTTTTACTTCCCGGCTGTTAAAGTTATTGCTGGATAAAACACATCAGGTAAGATAACGTTACATTTGTAAGAAACAACGTCTGAGCGCCATCAGTAATTTCCTTGACAATGTCAACTACCCTCTCATTCACTCAACAGGTGTAGTTTAAATAAGACAATCATGATTGACCGTCATTAAAGTCACACAGAGGGTTTGTTAGATTGGAAAAACGTGTTCAACTGATCATATTTGATGGTACAGACCCTGATCAGTAATAAAATGAAAGCATTACGGTTAATATGTTTAACTTCATCGTACCTGTACAGCATGGTTCTGTTGACTCTAAAGAAAAGGCAACAGAACCTTAAACTAGGGTTTGAATAACACACCAACAGACCTTTTAGACTGGCTCACTAAAAGGTTTAGTGGGTCACTTTAATGGAACTGAGCCATAGTTAATGTTATTTGTTGCACCTGTGTTTCTTCTGTGATAAGTAAAAATGGCGGCAAGAAATTGTATTGACATGAATCCTCCAGTACACATACAGACACAAACACTGTGTTGTTTAATGATAATATGATGCACCTTTCTGGATTTGTGTTCATGACGTGATGTAACGCGTGACTTATCCACTTCCTAAAATGAAACAAATTCATAGAGTGTGTTTGTGTGTGTGTCTGTGTGCGTGTTTGAGATAGAAAGAAAGAAACAGAGCGCTTCTGCTAAACAAGGCATTTGTTTCATCTGAACATCAAAGGCGCTCTGCTCTTTTATGATTGCTTCAGATTTTACAGTCCTCTCTTGCCACAGGCCTCAAATGCATATTTATTAAAGAGATTAACATTCTCTTGTCATTTATATTTACACAGAAAAAAACATTTAAACGGACGAAACCAGCTGCATAATGACGTTTTTTTTTTTTTGGCTCCTTCATATTTCAGAAAATATAAACAATTTTCTAAACGTAAACTGGTATTTATGAAAAATATAACATGCAGTGAAAATGTGCACATCTCATGCAATAGAAGAGATGTAATGTGTTATAAAGAATTATTTTCAATTGTCAGTAAGCTGCACGGTACCTGTAGGTTTACACATATCTACACCATGATGTGCAAATCAATGTGACATTTACAAAACATAATTCCTATTGATTGCTTTTTGTGAGCTCAATGACATTATTCTTTTTTTTATAATTATTCTGCTTTAGGAGTTCTCACTTCGACACCATTATGTCTTTTTTCATTTTTATCTTTTATTTTTAAGCATTGCAATGACTGCTGCTGATTATTTACAGATGCATGCGTTATGAATTAAGGACACTACAGCATGGTTGCTCAGCTGTGTCTTTAGTGGAGAGTTGCATTAGTAATTCACAAAACATCTGAAATACACAGCTCATGGAAACACACGGACAGACGAACATTAATGTCTTTATCAAATGTGTAAATTGTAATGACTTGGCCCCATCAGATCAAATTGTAATTTGTCCAATATTTTGGTTTATGACTAAATATCTGAAACAACTGATGACGTTCCCATCATCATTTTATAGTAACTCCAAGCAACCTGGTCCAGACCCTGCCTTTGATATGTGCTTTCTCTAGCCTTCATTTTCATGTCACACTTTGAAGCTCA